TCGGCTTCAAATCTGAGAATAATTTAGTGTATGCAGTTTGGGGGATGTTAACTGACCATTAGGATACAAAATCTCAACAAAAAAAATTTTGAAATTTCAACGTTTTAGTAAGAAGGTACCTACCTTATAATTTAGATTTTGGAAAACTTTGGAAGGGCATAACTTTTTTTCTATTATAGATAGAAAGCTGAAACTTTCACTGAATTTTATCCCAATCAAGGGACTACAATCCCTGAAAATTTCAGCTCATTTGCATTTATAGTTCCTGAGATAAAATCGTGTTAAGCAATTTGGGTTGATTTATCAATTTTTTAATTTTTCTGAGTGCCTTTTTTCATAGATTTCGGCTTCAAATCTGAGAATAATTTAGTGTATGGAGTTTGGGGGATGTTAACTGACCATTAGGATACAAAATCTCAACAAAAAAAATTTTGAAATTTCAACGTTTTAGTAAGAAGGTACCTACCTTATAATTTAGATTTTGGAAAACTTTGGAAGGGCATAACTTTTTTTCTATTATAGATAGAAAGCTGAAACTTTCACTGAATTTTATCCCAATCAAGGGACTACAATCCCTGAAAATTTCAGCTCATTTGCATTTATAGTTCCTGAGATAAAATCGTATTAAGCAATTTGGGTTGATTTATCAATTTTTTAATTTTTCTGAGTGCTTTTTTTCATAGATTTCGGCTTCAAATATGAGAATAATTTAGTGTATGGAGTTTGGGGGATGTTAACTGACCATTAGGATACAAAATCTCAACAAAAAAAATTTTGAAATTTCATCGTTTTAGTAAGAAGGTACTTACCTTATGATTTAGATTTTGGAAAACTTTGGAAGGGCATAACTTTTTTTCTATTATAGATAGAAAGCTGAAACTTTCACTGAATTTTATCCCAATCAAGGGACTACAATCCCTGAAAATTTCAGCTCATTTGCATTTATAGTTCCTGAGATAAAATCGTGTTAAGCAATTTGGGTTGATTTATCAATTTTTTAATTTTTCTGAGTGCCTTTTTTCATAGATTTCGGCTTCAAATCTGAGAATAATTTAGTGTATGGAGTTTGGGGGATGTTAACTGACCATTAGGATACAAAATCTCAACAAAAAAAATTTTGAAATTTTATCGTTTTAGTAAGAAGGTACCTACCTTATGATTTAGATTTTGGAAAACTTTGGAAGGGCATAACTTTTTTTCTATTATAGATAGAAAGCTGAAACTTTCACTGAATTTTATCCCAATCAAGGGACTACAATCCCTGAAAATTTCAGCTCATTTGCATTTATAGTTCCTGAGATAAAATCGTGTTAAGCAATTTGGGTTGATTTATCAATTTTTTAATTTTTCTGAGTGCCTTTTTTCATAGATTTCGGCTTCAAATCTGAGAATAATTTAGTGTATGGAGTTTGGGGGATGTTAACTGACCATTAGGATACAAAATCTCAACAAAAAAAATTTTGAAATTTCAACGTTTTAGTAAGAAGGTACCTACCTTATAATTTAGATTTTGGAAAACTTTGGAAGGGCATAACTTTTTTTCTATTATAGATAGAAAGCTGAAACTTTCACTGAATTTTATCCCAATCAAGGGACTACAATCCCTGAAAATTTCAGCTCATTTGCATTTATAGTTCCTGAGATAAAATCGTATTAAGCAATTTGGGTTGATTTATCAATTTTTTAATTTTTCTGAGTGCTTTTTTTCATAGATTTCGGCTTCAAATATGAGAATAATTTAGTGTATGGAGTTTGGGGGATGTTAACTGACCATTAGGATACAAAATCTCAACAAAAAAAATTTTGAAATTTCATCGTTTTAGTAAGAAGGTACTTACCTTATGATTTAGATTTTGGAAAACTTTGGAAGGGCATAACTTTTTTTCTATTATAGATAGAAAGCTGAAACTTTCACTGAATTTTATCCCAATCAAGGGACTACAATCCCTGAAAATTTCAGCTCATTTGCATTTATAGTTCCTGAGATAAAATCGTGTTAAGCAATTTGGGTTGATTTATCAATTTTTTAATTTTTCTGAGTGCCTTTTTTCATAGATTTCGGCTTCAAATCTGAGAATAATTTAGTGTATGGAGTTTGGGGGATGTTAACTTACCATTAGGATACAAAATCTCAACAAAAAAAATTTTGAAATTTCATCGTTTTAGTAAGAAGGTACTTACCTTATGATTTAGATTTTGGAAAACTTTGGAAGGGCATAACTTTTTTTCTATTATAGATAGAAAGCTGAAACTTTCACTGAATTTTATCCCAATCAAGGGACTACAATCCCTGAAAATTTCAGCTCATTTGCATTTATAGTTCCTCAGATAAAATCGTGTTAAGCAATTTGGGTTGATTTATCAATTTTTTAATTTTTCTGAGTGCCTTTTTTCATAGATTTCGGCTTCAAATCTGAGAATAATTTAGTGTATGGAGTTTGGGGGATGTTAACTTACCATTAGGATACAAAATCTCAACAAAAAAAATTTTGAAATTTTATCGTTTTAGTAAGAAGGTACCTACCTTATGATTTAGATTTTGGAAAACTTTGGAAGGGCATAACTTTTTTTCTATCATAGATAGAAAGCTGAAACTTTCACTGAATTTTATCCCAATCAAGGGACTACAATCCCTGAAAATTTCAGCTCATTTGCATTTATAGTTCCTGAGATAAAATCGTATTAAGCAATTTGGGTTGATTTATCAATTTTTTAATTTTTCTGAGTGCTTTTTTTCATAGATTTCGGCTTCAAATATGAGAATAATTTAGTGTATGGAGTTTGGGGGATGTTAACTGACCATTAGGATACAAAATCTCAACAAAAAAAATTTTGAAATTTCATCGTTTTAGTAAGAAGGTACTTACCTTATGATTTAGATTTTGGAAAACTTTGGAAGGGCATAACTTTTTTTCTATTATAGATAGAAAGCTGAAACTTTCACTGAATTTTATCCCAATCAAGGGACTACAATCCCTGAAAATTTCAGCTCATTTGCATTTATAGTTCCTGAGATAAAATCGTGTTAAGCAATTTGGGTTGATTTATCAATTTTTTAATTTTTCTGAGTGCCTTTTTTCATAGATTTCGGCTTCAAATCTGAGAATAATTTAGTGTATGGAGTTTGGGGGATGTTAACTTACCATTAGGATACAAAATCTCAACAAAAAAAATTTTGAAATTTTATCGTTTTAGTAAGAAGGTACCTACCTTATGATTTAGATTTTGGAAAACTTTGGAAGGGCATAACTTTTTTTCTATTATAGATAGAAAGCTGAAACTTTCACTGAATTTTATCCCAATCAAGGGACTACAATCCCTGAAAATTTCAGCTCATTTGCATTTATAGTTCCTGAGATAAAATCGTATTAAGCAATTTGGGTTGATTTATCAATTTTTTAATTTTTCTGAGTGCTTTTTTTCATAGATTTCGGCTTCAAATATGAGAATAATTTAGTGTATGGAGTTTGGGGGATGTTAACTGACCATTAGGATACAAAATCTCAACAAAAAAAATTTTGAAATTTCATCGTTTTAGTAAGAAGGTACTTACCTTATGATTTAGATTTTGGAAAACTTTGGAAGGGCATAACTTTTTTTCTATTATAGATAGAAAGCTGAAACTTTCACTGAATTTTATCCCAATCAAGGGACTACAATCCCTGAAAATTTCAGCTCATTTGCATTTATAGTTCCTGAGATAAAATCGTGTTAAGCAATTTGGGTTGATTTATCAATTTTTTAATTTTTCTGAGTGCCTTTTTTCATAGATTTCGGCTTCAAATCTGAGAATAATTTAGTGTATGGAGTTTGGGGGATGTTAACTTACCATTAGGATACAAAATCTCAACAAAAAAAATTTTGAAATTTTATCGTTTTAGTAAGAAGGTACCTACCTTATGATTTAGATTTTGGAAAACTTTGGAAGGGCATAACTTTTTTTCTATTATAGATAGAAAGCTGAAACTTTCACTGAATTTTATCCCAATCAAGGGACTACAATCCCTGAAAATTTCAGCTCATTTGCATTTATAGTTCCTGAGATAAAATCGTATTAAGCAATTTGGGTTGATTTATCAATTTTTTAATTTTTCTGAGTGCTTTTTTTCATAGATTTCGGCTTCAAATATGAGAATAATTTAGTGTATGGAGTTTGGGGGATGTTAACTGACCATTAGGATACAAAATCTCAACAAAAAAAATTTTGAAATTTCATCGTTTTAGTAAGAAGGTACTTACCTTATGATTTAGATTTTGGAAAACTTTGGAAGGGCATAACTTTTTTTCTATTATAGATAGAAAGCTGAAACTTTCACTGAATTTTATCCCAATCAAGGGACTACAATCCCTGAAAATTTCAGCTCATTTGCATTTATAGTTCCTGAGATAAAATCGTGTTAAGCAATTTGGGTTGATTTATCAATTTTTTAATTTTTCTGAGTGCCTTTTTTCATAGATTTCGGCTTCAAATCTGAGAATAATTTAGTGTATGGAGTTTGGGGGATGTTAACTTACCATTAGGATACAAAATCTCAACAAAAAAAATTTTGAAATTTTATCGTTTTAGTAAGAAGGTACCTACCTTATGATTTAGATTTTGGAAAACTTTGGAAGGGCATAACTTTTTTTCTATTATAGATAGAAAGCTGAAACTTTCACTGAATTTTATCCCAATCAAGAGACTTCAATCCCTGAAAATTTCAGCTCATTTGCATTTATAGTTCCTGAGATAAAATCGTGTTAAGCAATTTGGGTTGATATATCAATTTTTTAATTTTTCTGAGTGTCTTTTTTCATAGATTTCGGCTTCAAATCTGAGAATAATTTAGTGTATGGAGTTTGGGGGATGTTAACTGACCATTAGGATACAAAATCTCAACAAAAAAAATTTTGAAATTTCATCGTTTTAGTAAGAAGGTACCTACCTTATGATTTAGATTTTGGAAAACTTTGAAAGGTCATAACTTTTTTTCTATTATAGATAAAAAGCTGAAATTTTCATGCTTGTTTCAGAGCCTAATATAGACGAATTGGTCGTTTTCGGAAAACTGGGCAACAAGAACAAGCCAATTCCTAATTCCTCCAAACAACTAATCGGTCGAGAGATTGAATTGATTAAACTGCGAGGCTTCGAAACCAATAAACCCGCTACCGACAACAAAATTCCAGAAAAAAAGATGGAAGTGGATAAAGAACTGTCAGTTCCAAACCATTTGAAAACTTTACAGTTCAAACAGGCACCAAAAAAGGTAAGTTTTTCTGTTTCTCAAATTAAAATTCATATTTTCGTATAATATAAAATCACCCCTGGAGTTTTCGTTTCGGGTTTAATGGCGTGTCAAAGCGATATTTATGCCCTTCGGAACGGGGCATAAGTAAAAGATAAACCGCTTTTAGGACTTCCTGGAAAACACTAGAACAATTTAGGATGCTTTTTGGCACCAACGATTCAATTCATAAGCGTATCAAACTTGAATTGTACTTTGTGATTGGATAGTATCAATGTTTTTGATCCGCCGTCACTGTTTTCAAGGGTCGATTTATATCGTTTAATGGCCAAGAAAACTGACTCCAAACTTCCGACACATTCGGACCGTTAAATAACGGAAACGATTCTAGTTATTCGATATGTTTTGGGCAAATTTTATCTTTTGCAATGTTGCAACTAAGTTGCAATAAACTCTTTCCGGATTTTAGTGATTTTGATTATTTGAAGGTAAGTAATAATACAAAATCTCAAGTGGGCAAATTAATAGGTATTTTTACTTAAATCCCCCCTCATAAATCAAGTTGTCTCCATTAAGGGAAAACAAAGTGAGGCACATCCTAAAGACGTTAAATCGTTTGAGGAAGCGAAAAGCCTTAATGGAAAGGCGGAGAAAGCCAAATGAAACGAGATCCATTTAAACGAATAGCTCCACAGCTTTAGAAGACATTGTTGCAATGTTTATTTATTTTAAAAAAATCCTACACTATCGCTGTCCTCCCCTGCAGTGACCTTTTTCAATTTATGGCGTTAAGTTACACAAAAGAAAAATCTTCTGGAAACGGACCATAGAGAGAGGAGGAAGGAAATCAGGGCCATTTTTCTTTCGGCCAGCGCTCGACGTTTCCGCAATTTCGCGATGTTGAGTCGGCTAAGTAATGTTATAACCTGGAAACATTAGTGGAATTGCAATGAAAAGGACCCCGGAGCTTTGGGTATTATATCCGATTAAGTAAGTATCCACTTGAGCATTAAAAACGGACAATTTGGGTTAGAGATATATAAGACTTGGATTTTGATGGGGTGAAAATTAAAAGGGCTTTATTTTGACTTTAGTATATAGTTTGTTGAGGGTAATCTTGAATAATAAATTATTCTTGTAACCACTAAAACTGGATTTGTAGACTTCTAATATTAATTATTATAAATGAATAAATAGTGGGGATACTGTCAATATTCATTCTCAGAAAAACTCTGTTTGCATTTTTTGATGTTGAGAATGTAAAATTGAGAAAGCAACTAAAATATTCACAGAATTATAAAGGATCTTATAATGCCGTTTGGACTTGAAAATGCTCCAGCTGCATTTCAGTGAACATACCAATTTTTTAGTAAAGTGTTATTTTTGTTCCAAGAACTTTTGTATCTAGGTAAATATGAAATTCAGTATATATATTTTTGATAATGTACCTATTTTTCTTTCACTAATAAAATATATCAACAAATATCTGGTCCTATGGTTCGAAAATATCTCCAATAATTGTTCAATATGTTGCTCAGCTCAATACAAAAAGAAGCTTCTTCATTTGTGCTTCAAGTAGTTGATCTTGTGGATTCTTCAGGCTTGGAGAAACCAATATTGCCAGGTCGAAAAAACTTAATTCACTAGAAATTGGAATGAAAAATCACCAGATTTAAAAAAAAATCACCAGAAATCTTGAAAGTTGATTTTTCAGGAAAATTCTCGCTTTACGGGTTTATATCAAACCAAGTAGGCTTTGGAAACATGTATGTATTGCAATATCGGTATTACAGGGCGCCATATTTAAATTTTGAAATTTTGCAAAGTCTACTTTGTCCCTTGTCAAACAGTGTTGTCAAATACAACTTATAACAAATATTGTGTCAATTATTTAGGCTCGAATTTATACTACATAGGCCTACTTTGAAACGTTAAATTGCGTTAGGGTTACTACATTTTTAGACTAGGGTTTCTATGTTTTAAATTTTTCTTCCAAAACCTAATAATTTTGTAAATTTTAACAAATCCTTTGCTAAAACCAGTTCAGAAAAAATATATTCCTATCTCTTTTTTATACATGCTAGTAAAAAAAGACACGAATACACTCAGTGTACGCTAATGCCGTTGAAAATAATGCAAATTGAATAAAACAATTAAGCAAAAATAGAGCTTCAAAAGACGTAATTTTAATAAAAAAAGTTTGACAGCAACACTTCGCAGGCCCATAGAGTCGGAGTCTTTTTAATTTATGAGCCCGAAGGGCCGGGGTCTACTTAAGTTACGAGCCCAAAGGGCCGGGGTCTTTTTAAATTACGAGTCCGTAGTGGGCGAGGGTTTTTATGTGTGGTCACCTTCATCGTGTGTACCTGATTTTTCAGTCTCAATTTGCCGGGAATTTTTTTTATTTTCTGAATTGAGTAGGGGAGGAAATTCCAATTACTTGAATTTTTGTTAACTGCCGGAGAAGATTATAATATTTGGGTTTGACAGTTTGACTATTAGATGACATTGTGGCCCATATGGCCCATAGACAAAATGTCGGATTCGATAATGCCATATGGTACAGGCAGTGGCGTACCCAGAAAAGACATTTGGGGTGGGGGGGGGCAACGAATGCCCGCCGGAGGAAAGCCGGCGTAGTCGGAAAAATTTTAGGGGTGCCAGGCCCAATTTTTGCCAAGAAGTCGTTAAAATCGTTAAAGGAACAAGGATTCGTCGCCCTCTTAAACGGCAAATGGGGCGCCTCAACAAAATAAAACTGTCACTTTAAACGTTGATTATCGTTAAACCTCTCTTAACATGGTCGGTGTAAACGACCGTTAATATTTGTATTTAATGGACACTTAACTGTAGCTAGTTTGTCTAATGCAGTGGTTCCCAACCTTGAGAGTAGCGCGGACCAATTTTGGTAAATCAGGATTTGCGCGGCCACCAGCTGCGTATCTAGACTGGAACCTTTGGGAGGGGGAGAGGGATAGAAAGTTGAAGGAAGCTCGACGCAGGCGCCGCCGGAGTTGGAATTTGTTTTCTGTTGCCACTACCAAAAAACCTTTATTTTTGACTATTTTGAGCCTCAAAGCAGTTCATTGAGGCGCAGTGCTCATTTCTATTCTATTTCATCAGAGCTTTCTAGTAGGCATTAGCAGGAACCTGCAATGTGGAATTGGCGTGTTCAATATGATATTTCCTATGTCGAGTGATCTCGAGCGGATTTCTGACGTCATTACTATTTTTGAAAACAATTCTAGAGGAGCATAATCTAAAGCACCAATAATTTCAAAAATACTTTAAATGCTAATAACATTTAAGCTTGATTGAAAACAGTAATGTTTTAGAATTCGTCTTGTATCAGTTTGCGGACCACTTTAAGGGTTCTCGCAGACCACTTTTGGTCCGCGGACTACCGGTTGGGAACCACTGGTCTAATACCTCATCGGGAGATACCCGAATGTTGAGAAGGGCAAGGCCATTAGGACGGGCAGACGGGCAGTGCTTGTGGTATTACGGAGGTACGTAAGCAATCTTCTTAATGTAGAAAGGGATCTTTCACTTGTGCAACCAACTTGTAACGGGTAGTGTACAAAAAATCTTCAATAAGATGTTTTGTCTTGGGGGGGGGGGCAAATGCCCCCTTGCCCCCCTCCCTCTGGGTACGCCCCTGGGTACAGGAGAAAATGTGGCTCATCGTTGTCACATTTTGCACAATATTTTGAGTTTTTTTATTTTTTCAAATTTTCAAATTTAATTTTCTCGGAACCCATCAGAGAATTTGGATCAATTTTTTTTTTTGAAATTGTAGCTCCTAATAAGGGCTTCAAAATAGTTAGTACTCAGTTCAAGTCGTTGGCATTTACGGTTTTTGAGAAAATTGAGTTTTTGACTAAATTTTAACCAAAATCCAAATTTGAGGCTCAATTGCTCTAAAAGTATTTGCGTTATCAAACTCAATCTAGCACTGATTTATAGAGAATTTAATGCTCTTTCCAACCGTATATAATTTATTTTGATTTGCTCAAAATTTAATAGAAGTATTGGCAATTGCTCCTAACCTTGTCAGGATTCAAAAAAAAAATTAAACCTAAAAATTGAGATTCTCTTTTTAATTTTTCTCTGTGTTGAAATCAAGATTTTGTAATGATGTTAGAGTTTTTTTCGACTAATTAAAACCCGTTCTATCGATTGGAAAAGTCAAAATTCAATAAATATGAATAATAAAAATTTCGAATTTTTCAACCCTTTAGATTTTGATTTCAAAATATTTGATCTTGGATATTTTGAAATCTATTAAAGATTTTGAATTAAAATTTTCGGGAAAAATAACTCTTGACAAGGGCTTTAAAATGGTATTTAGTTAAAACCGCTAGCTCTTATGGTTTTCGAGAAAATCGAGTTTGAAATTTTTGATAAAATTTGGACTAAAACTCAACTTTGAGATCCAATTGCTCAGAAAGTATTCAAGTTATCAGAATCAATTTAGCATGGATTTATAGAGAATTTAATGTTCTTTCCAACCATATATAATTTGTTTTGATTTGTTCAAATTTCTTCAAAGATATTGGCCATTATTCCTAACCTTGTCAAGATTTGAAAAAATTTCCAGAACGAAAATTGAGATTTTTTAGCTTTTTGAAATCGCCATTTTGAAAGTGGTGTTAGAATTTTTTTCGATTAATTTAAACCCGCTAAATAAATTGGAAAAGTCTAAATTTCGAAAATATGAAAAATAAAAATTTCGAATTGATTTGACTGAAACCCCCCATAAGCAACGCCACTGGCTAAACAAAATACATGTTGCCAACTTGAAAAATAACCGGCCAATAGCAACAAGAGCCTGGAATAAACAGAAATTGAAATATAAAAAGGGAAACATATATAAATATATTGAAAGAACAAATACAAATTTATATAAAAATCAAAGGACCTCACACACTACTTATGGGTATTTGGTTTTCTGTCAAACAAATGAAATTTGTATGTTAATGAAATAAAATTTTAATACATTACGAGGGATGTTTATAAAGTGTATGCCATTGTTAAAAATATTCAAAATTGATGAAATATCAAAATCACCAGAAATTGCCATTTTTCAAAAAGTTTTTCACCAATCACCAAATCTGGTGAAATTTCACTGGACCTGACATTACTGGGAGAAGCTTTGAAATTGATCGTCTTAGGTAAAAAGACCACAAACTTAAAGTTTGAATTTAGACCGAAACAAACTTGTTGATTTCATTTCTAGGGCTTGTGATCTCAAACAAACTCTGAGACAAAGAAAATCCCAACGATAAAATATCAATTCGGTCAATTCGAACCAGTATAAAGGATACATCAAGGGTGAAACGTCGCCTGCCATCGTTTAACGATGATATAACAACGCAATTACATTCGCACAATGACAAACTGTTTCGAAAATGGTTAGCTCATTAAACACGAGTGCCTCTAAAGTGCGTTCGTTCCGTCCCCACCGATTCGCCTCTACCACTACAGAACTGAATCCATATGGGGCGGAATATTATATGTGCATAAAGAGGGTAATCAAAGGCACTAGCTCGTGAATAATAGATAAGGCTCACTCGCGGGGGGCTATAATACGTCATCTTGTCGTTTATTGTTTTAGGCTAACAATAATTAGCTGGAATATTTAACCAAATTCGTTTCTATTGACAGATCAGATCGGTTTCCGATTTGTGGCTTCTTTGCACACAATGATAGGTTGTAAGAGGGCCCTTGTGAGCCCTTAGGTCCTTTTGTTTGATCCGAGCACCCTTCGAACAATAAAATATGTTTACTGGCTGATACGTGTTTGCTTACTATTGTATAGCAGGCCCTTATAATAGTGAAACGGTTTATATGAAACACATGGAATAATTGTTTAGGTTTTTATATTTTGAAGTAGGTTTTTTCATTGAAAACTATTTTCCTCTAAAAGGAGTAAGAGGTGGTTGGATTCCAGGATTAGAAACAGGTTGGCCTTGTGGTCGTCTTCTGATACCAGGTGGTCCAGCGGTCACGTAAAGATCCACAGTTCCTCTGCTGATTCCGAAAAGCGACTGCAGTCTTTGTAAAATGTTGAATTGTTGAGGTGCTTGGGTGCTAAGGTCAACCACTAAAATCACTCATTAAGGTAAATCGAATTTGAAAATTCCACTCACCAGAACTGAAAATCAAAAATGTCACTAGACATTTTGCCATAGTGTTGTTGCCGAACATTGTAGAAAATTAGACTCAAGTCAATTTTAACTTTTCAGCCTATTTATATCTTAAAGAACTGTGCTATGGAATTAATGATTTAAAAGCATAATACAATTGTAGTAAAAACTATAGTAAAGTCCTTCGTGATTTTGCATTTTGCTTGGTAATTACTGGAATATAAAATTAAAATAACACTATAGAAAATATGTAAGAAAACAACTACTATGGTCGTTTTACATCTCAAATAAGTGTATTTTATGAATACTCTGTACTGAATTTAAATTACAAGAAAATAATCGTAATTTTTTTATTTTCGAATTTGTTCCAATGTTTGTTTGAAGATATTTCACTTCTTCTCAATCAAAATCTATCCAAAGTTAGCTTAAAATGCACGTTTAACAAGAAAACAACCTGTTGGAAAATTTGATCAGTTTCAACGTAATATTAATATAAAATATGAACCAATTAGTTATATAGGTATATAATAATGTGTAGGATATAGAAATTCGCTTAGTTTCACCACACATATTACTGATTCACCTGTTTTTGTAGTCAAGTTAATTTTTGATATATTGTCTAATGTAATGACAGATAAAAATCCTCTTAATTTTTAATAGTTTTTAGTCAGTTTTTCCCGTTATTGCTCATTTTACATTATATCTTCTAGTGTATTATTTGTTCATTAACTTCAAGAGGTTATGGGCCCAGAAGTAAAGATTGGTGAAAAATAGTAGCAATTCAAGAAAGATAAAATACAAACAGCTAGGGGATCGGGCTAATCGGATCAGTGTTTCCGAAAAGGCCCATTGTTATAAATAATGGGTACTAGTAATTCAATTATTATTGTAATGTCACTTAAAAAAAGTAATTTTAATTCTGCGGAATTATTTGTTCAAAATAAGACTATATTTTACATTGGCGTAGTCGGTTCAAAGAATTTAGATACATTAATGCCTTCGGGAAAATTGGAAAATTTTGATTCAGAATGTGATTAATTACAAGGGAAAATTAAATTTTTATTTTCAAGCAAATGAATTTAAGGATCCTGCCGAGTCTGGTCTCGTCTCGTCTCGTCGAGATTTCACAACACAAAAAGCCAGTCTGGTATCGAAAAGTCGAGACGGGACGAGACCAGTTTCGAGTCTCGCGGCATCACTAGAATAGTTTTAGGCAGGGATGATGCTATCAGCACTAAAAAAATTGTACCAGAAAGTAGGGAATAATTGTACTAGATTGGCTACATTGTGTACTAGCTGAAAGTGCGTCAAATTTTGAAATTTGACACAAATGTAGGCTCTGCTAAATTAGGGTAAATACTTAGAGCAGGTAAAGGTAAAGAGGATTAGTAACACGGCGTTGGAAAATGAAGCCGTTTTTTTTCCAAGTATTTTGGCACCAAAAAAATGGCGGTACAGGCAATTCAATGCTTTACTTGTATTTTAGTGCCAAAAACTTGGCTTCACTTTAGTTTCATAAGCAGAATGGCGCGTTCCTATTCCTTATGTCCGTAGAATAGCGCTTTACCTGCTCTAAGGGTAAATATCACTTGTTTGAGGGGCGGTTTCTTAATAACGAGTCACCTGCGGGTTGGTTTTAACTTCAAGACGAACGTGTCCAGTTGCAATGTTTACCTAGAGTTATATCCTTAACCTGGGGGGTGACTCGCTATTGGGAATCTGGCCCTGAATAATAGAGATAAATAAATTTCTACATATTTATTATCCGTTCACAATCCGATGTCCACAAGTAGGTACAGGTAAAAACACTTTTCAATGCTATTTGATAGGGAAAGGTGATAAATTTACCTGCACCTGTGGACATCGGATTGTAAACAGGATATAGTTATAAATCGACTACCGATTACCTGATTCGCTAAATAACCGAATAACCACCGATACATGACACACATCAAGTCACAGAATAAAAAACTCCCCCACCATCAAATTCTGGGATACTCAAGGATCAAGAACACTTAATTTGTTCCGTGAGAACTTACAAACCGAAAATCACCTTTTCTACATTTAAAATCGACGAAAAAATGAACTCACTAGCATAGCCTGAATCGTAAGCATTCGATCGAGGTCTGCGGGTGACGTCATTGCTTTTTTTTTTTGCTAAAATGACGTCACTCGCAGGCCCAGAATTTGATGGAGAGAGAGTTAGGGAAGTATGACACAATTGACACAAAACATAACCCAGCATAATCAGATTATGCTTGAATATCCTCGCCAAAAATTGCCTCATATTCGAATCGCCAATTTCTTGATGGCTTTAGCCGCACCGTAGTGGGACCTAGAACGTGAAACCGAACCTACAAGTAGAGAGTGGAGTGCAGAACTCGGGTACGGTACAGAGCGAAGAGCGACACTCTCGACTCGTAATCCAAATTGTACTAGATGAAAAAGGTACTAGCGTACTAGGTGAAACGTGATTGTGCTAGATCTAGTACAATTAAACTAGAAATACCATCCCTGGTTTTAGGTATTTTTGTAAGAAGAATCGTATGACTTTGGACTATAACATGCCATATACCCCCAAGAGAATGGAAAAACTGAAAGAATGAATAGAACTCTATTGGATAAAAAAAGAACCGAGATTAGAGGATGCAGGTATTCCAAAAACACTTTGGGATGAGGCTCTAAAAATGTTCTGTGTATGAACTAAATAGAATTCCATCTAGAACTTCACCTAGGGGAGTAACACACTTAACAGTGTTGCCAAAGAGCAAACATGTTTTGAACCAAAATTACAGAAAAATTGTACCAGAGCAGGTTATCCGGCCACTCGGCCAGAAAGGACACGCTGATTACTCCAGTGTAGCGCGCGTGCGGCCCAGAACATCTAAGGGCCTCACAGACCTGTAATATTCATAATAGGTACTAAAATCAGTTGTCAATGAAAACAACACCGGCCATTAAGGCTGGAGATTTGAAAAAAACATATGGCAATACTGCTTATGATACAACAAACGTTGAAAAGTTGACGTTTCATAGTAGGCCTTGTTTTCTTTAAAATTCGATACAAAATGGCGTTTCTTTGTTGCCCTGTGAGCTCAAGATTGAAAACACTCTCGCCCTTCGGGCTCATGATTAAAAAAAACCCACTTCATTCTTCTAGCTTTACAGTATTGCCAAAAGTTACAAATTTCAATCAGCCTACAACATCATAACAATCGTTTCTTGATGTCAATTGCCACTTGTCAACGTTTTACATTTACAATTACAAATGCTCCCAAATTACCGTTAAAATGTGGCAACGTTGCTGTTGTAGGCCTCATTCTGAATCACAAGGCTGTCAATTGACAAAAAAATCATAATAATCGTAGGTGGTCCTGAAAATGAACTCGTCAATTGTCAAAAGTCATAATATTGTATGTAGGCTTGTCAGTTGTCAAAAAAAAATTGAGTAATTATTCCAAGTGTTTGAACCGGGAACAATCGAAAATTTACTCTGATGATAGTTTGGCTCGACAAACTGATCATTTAAATTGTTTTCTACTTTATCTCGCGCTTTATCTTACTCATTTATAATCGCTTTTGGTTTTTTACTAATGTATTCTACCTTATCTTCTTCTTTGTTTTACTCACTATAATCTGGAAAAACATTATGTTTGAGATTGTAATTATGGCAACGTCGTTTTCGATCAAGTAGGTCTTGTAATGTAATGTCATTTGGCATTTTAGACAGTCGGCCATTTTCGAGTGTTTTTATCCAGTTTCTCCTCGAATTTTCCACTTTTCCAGGCCGATTTCGCGTTATACGCGAGCCCGAAGGACCAGAGTTATTTTAATCACGGGACCCAGTTTATAATTTTATTGGTCAGCGGATAATTTGGAGCCAATCAAAAACCGAGAATATTCAAAATGCGATTTTTAGCGCCCAATCAAAGAGCCGGGAATATTCAAAAACTTTAGTTTTATCAAGTTGACTTTGGAATGTTGGTTATCTTAAGATTTTTACTTTTTTCAGAAAACGGTGGTTTTTGCAAACATTACTACTTTATCGTTGTCTTTGTCTTACTCACTATAATCAACAGGTAAACCTTGCAATGTCATTTTCATTGAAATTAAACTAAAAACAAGTTTCCGATGCTTTATTTAGGAAATTTTAATTATTATAATCATTATTTATTAATTGTTTAACATTTTTTAATTAATTTTAAACAAAGAACTTATTTAAAATGTTATTTTTGTTTTCCGAGATGAAATGTGGCAATGTTGCTTTTAGTCGGCCATTTTGAAGTGACGTCTTGTGCTTTTTTGCCAGTATTTCCTCGGATTTTCGACTTTTCTGGAGATTTTTAATGGAAAAAGGCGATTCAACATACGAGGCTTTGAGTTTTCTTCATTTTCTAGCAAAAATTTCCACTTTTAAATGCCATAATTAGCAAAATCCCATTTAAAATGCTTTTGATGTGGCAACAGCGCTTGTCGCTAACTTCAATCAAGGAGGCCTTGTAATAAATATCATTTGTCATTTTTGACAGTCGGCCATTGTCATTTGACGAGTTTACATTTTTATTCAGTTCTTCCTCGAATTTTCCACTTTCCCGGGCTATTTTTGATCGGGAAAATCGATTTAAAGTAGGTACGGGGCTTTGAGTTATCTTCATTTTGTATCAAAAATTTCGAGTTTTTCAACGGGGTAAGTTACAAAAACTTAAGTTTCATCAATTAGGCTTTGGAATGTCATTTTTCAATGGTTTTTCTTTGGATTTTCCGCTTTTCCGATCAGGAAAACCCATTTGAAGTACGAGGCTTTGAGTTTTCCTTATTTTCTGCCAAAAACCTAAACCAAACACAAACTACGTCAACCAAAAACCTCAAAACGAGTGTTACATTAGTGACGCCATCTATTTACGAATCAAAAATTATTGTTATATCGAATTTGGATACAGAAATACAAGTTAATTAGAACATCGACATAAGACTAAGTAGGCAGTAGGCTGACTCTTTGTAAATTTGGAAAAAGTTAAAAAATTGAAAATTGTACCCAATATGCCAATGTCGAACCAGCGTACTTTTTCAAAACGAATGGTACCAAACCTGGTACAATTGTTCCACCTCTGGCAGCACTGCTTTCAAATCGTGGGTTTGGAATCCGGATCCTGGTTTACCATTCTACGCGAAGGTAATAAAGCAAAGAAGGCTGTTATGATGGGATATTGTGGTAATGTATATGAGCAGAAAATAGTGAGATTTGATGAGAGCTTGATGAAGTACGAGAAAACCCATAAGAAGATAGAGATAGAAAGTGGGCCAAAGGAAAAAGAAAAACAGCAAAACTACTTACCTGATGAAGAAGAGGAAAAGAGAAAAGGGAGATGAGAGACAAGAAAAAAATCACATTAAAAAGATACTAGAAGAGAAACCTGTTCAAATGACCAATAATATGCAAGAATGCAATAGAAATTCAAGTAGTGATGAGAACGAAAAACATATGCCATGGGATAATAGGACTATAACAATAGAACTGTGAACAAACCATGAAAACATGAATATGAAAAAATCAGAGCATGGGAATGCGAGAAAAATAGTTTGATTCAGTCTATGTAGAGTCAGCATACAGCAGAAATGAATAAACTTAAAAAAATAATGTGCAGGGAAAAAGACGAAAAGATATTTGTATGTTTACCAACCAAATTGAAATATAACACCCAAATAGAACATTTAAGAGACAAAATAGCAAGTAAAGAAAATTATATACAGGGAATGAAGATAAATTCCTTTGAAGCTCAAATGTATGAGCAAATTATAATCAATTTTAATAACAGACTAGAGGATCTTAATGAGAAAACCAAAAATATATTAAGAGAAAATACAGAGAAAGCTGAAATGGAGGCGCAGCAAAACTAAAACAGAGTCAATAAGGAACTAAAGGACAAGATAAGTGGGCTGTTTGACAGAAATACTGTGGGTTACTAATAAAGCCATCACTACATTAAAGAAGAAAGAACAAAAACTGAAGAATTAAGAGAACAAATTCTTACCTTGGAAATTAGTATCGAGGAAATAGAGTTAAATGATCAGACCATAGAAAAACTTATAAGTGAACTGCAAGACTGGAAAATGGTAGAAACAATTCGATTCCTTGAGGATGAGAACCTGAAGTTGGAGCATGTAAAAAAATTTACAACAGAAAACAATAAGCCGAGGTAAGAGAAAACAAGAAACTTTAGGAAAGCAGAACGAAGGTAACATAAATACAATGGCAAATATCAATAAATCAAATACTGTGCCAGATAATACTTATAAAGAAACTCAAAACAACAATAAACAAAAACAAATTATTATTTCTAAAAGATGGATATACGGAAGATTCATATACGAATATCTCCAGCATTACCTGGGGAAATGAGTGTGCATTTCAGGTAGTGTGCAAGCCAAACACTAGCTTGAAAAGTTGCGTTAAGGAATTTTCAAATACCCACTTTGTTGTTCTATTGGTGGAGCCGGGAATCAGAAACTTTACAAAGAGATTGGTCTTGGAGAGTTATCAAAAAATGTTTTTTTACTAAACTTGGTTTTTTGTACATCTCCAGTGAACAGCAAGTATTCATCGCTATGTTATCTAATATTAATAATTGGATCAGAAGATCACACATTTTTTTAAATGAATTTGAAAAGAAGTAGCAGTGATATTCAAATTACCTAGAAAATAATTTAGGATAGACGAGATTCACTCATTTGCGACTCCAATGGAAGTCAATTTTCAAATGGATATAAATGCTACAGTGATGGATAAATATAATGTTCCACATCGAAGATTTGGTATATAGTTTAATATATATATCTTCAGTGACCAGACTCGATATAGCATAAAGCGTTTCATATTTGTCCCGATTTTTGAATAAACTCACTTCATGTGCATGGAAAGCAGCGAAGAGAATTCTTCGGTATCTAAGCTGTACTATTGACTATGGACCATTGGTAGTTACCTTCTTACTAAAACGATGAATTCCCTCAATTTCTTATACATTCCCCATTTTTCATAAATTCCTTCAAATTTCCCACAAATTTCTCTAAATTCCCCACAGTTTTGCCAAAGATTTCCTAGGTGGTTTGCCCCTTGACAGAGAATGAATTCTCGGAAGGGGCAAAACAATGTACCTACATAGGTAATTTTAAAAACAAGGGCATGAATTTAAAGAGTGCTGGTTTGGAAAACTTAAGGAAGAAAATAAACGCAGTAGGTACGCGAAAAGGGCAGAGAAAGATGATGGAAAATCAAACGAGACAAATTCATTTATAGTATTTAGTGAAAGAATTAAAAATTAAAACGACTGGTGCTTAGATACAGGAGCCAGCGCACAAAAAGTTATTTGAAGTGTTGATGGAAACCAAAATGGAAAAACAAAAGTTGAAAATTTTTTGAGCTTCTCGTCAACTGTCAGTCTTTCATCCACAGAAGATACCCTTTTTATGATTTAAAAATCAAACAATATTTCCACAAGGTGATAATTTTTGCTGATAATCAAAGTGTGATTAAAGTTTGAGAGTTTCATAAGCGACTCAAATATGTGGATATCCGTTTTCATTTCGTCATAGGAGGGATAAAATTAAATACAATGTTGTTACAAGTAATCAACATTCAAATCGGTTAAACCTAGGCATTATTTCTTTTATAGTATTATCCACAGCTTCTATTTTTGTCGGTATGAACAGTTCAAACATTTTTCTGAAGTAACAGCAAATCCCCTGCCCAAATAAACTCATAAAATGTTTAAAATTTGAACTTGGAATTGATGGTAGTGGTTCGTGTTCCACATCTTCCAGATCCTGAGCAGTAGCAACTGCAATTAATAATTAACTCTAGTACCAATAAACAAATTTAATCATTTTACCTGCAAAAATCACTATGACTAAAACTAGCAAGTGTTGTTTCATTTTGTCTCACTAGATTTTACACAAAAATTTCCTGGTAATATAAACCAAAAATGTCGTGACAATATTAAAGTTTATCAATAAACGTTTCCATTAATTCCATTGTCTACTTTTACTTTGTAGAAGTTACTTATAATCGTGGCCTATAGGAGAATATGCCTAATTCACGATCTACGTAAATAACGATGATTCAATTTCGCAGGCATTCCAATAGCTTCTGGTCAGTATAATGTTATTTTTTTATGTTCAATACCATATAACTATTTAAAAATGTTGTCTATTCAGAACCATCGAAAGGAGGATTATTGTCTGATTTGAAAGTCTTCAGAAAACCAAAAGTAGTATTAAACATGTCGCAGATGTGAGAAAGATGTTGAGTTAACTACTTCTACTATAGGGTACTTTGAGTACTCGTCAACAGCAATAAAAACATACTTCTTGCTAGAAAAAGGTCCTACATAATCAACAACGATGGCTTAGAACAGATAGTCTAGTAATGCGCTGGATATTACAGGATTTATCCGGTTGGTTTTAGTGATAATAGCTTGATATAGAGGACATGACTTCTGTCATAGCATCTAAATTTGAGAATTAAACTTTTGTTCTTAGTAACTGTTTAGTTTTGGTGATACCCAAATGTCCCTTGTGTGCTAGTTCGATAGTTGTTTTTCTTAGTATAGTTGGCAAGACTTTCGATGTCCTCTTAAAATAATGTCATCTTGATAAATTAATTCACCTTTCAGTTTGGAATAGGCACACGTTCTGAGCTGCTTTCTTTTCAAAGGTTTGGGCGCCCCAGGGCACCCTGGATTACGATTTTGATGTGTCAACCGTTCTTTTTAATCGGGGCGTCAAGCCCCGGGGTCTTCTATCCCCACCGTTAGCGCCTCAGCAAGACGTCGAAGCTCCACAGCTCCCAGTGTCCAAACTGTCACTAGTGTCAGTCCCTTAAATTACCGTTCTTTTCAGAGCCTGCGCTGACGAGCCCCAGGGCGTCGAAGCCCGGGGTTTCAATGCTCTGAAAAGAAAGCACCTCTGGTAGTTTTCAAAGGTTGTGTTTCTTTGAAATTATTGCTTCTTTAATAACTTGAAAATCAGGATCTTGTCACGTAGCTACTTGAACCATTTCTATAGTTATAGCTTTAGGAAGTTCACTTTTTATACAAAAATTAACATAATCGTCTATTCTGATTCACAATTTTTTTCGAAAGGATGTCTTGATAGATAGTCAGACGAATTTTTGACACTTTGTTAATGTTCAATTTCAAAACTGTAAGGCTGAATCCTCAGGAACATTCTATCAACTCAAGGATTTAATGCTGATCATGTGTTCTATATAATTTTTAACAATAATGGAAGATTATCACAGTATAAAATAAACTCAGATCCATGAAAATAATTATGAAAATGTTGTACTGACCAAGTGCAAGGTATTGTCTCCTTTTCAAATTGACTGTATCGTTTTCCCAATCCCTTTAGGACTTGCATCTGCATATAGGTGAGATGTTTTCTCAATGTCGAAATATGCCTTAAGTTCGAAAAAAAAAAACGCTCAAATTATCTCATCAACAATTTATTAACAATTAACAATCAAATGGGTTAAACTCGGGCCATTTTTCCATTACAATTTTATCATAAGCTTCTATTTCTGCCGGATCAAACACTTTCCTGAAGCCACAGTACATTATCTTTCCAAATATACTAGCAAAATGTTGAATTCCAAGTTCGATTTCTAGTGATAGTGATAGTGATTCCTGTTCTACATCTTTCAAATCCTGAGCAGTAGCAACTGAAATGAAAAATTAACTCACGCCCTTACCAATAAACAAAATGAATCATTTTTACCTGCGAAAATTGAAATGGCTAAGATCAGCAAGTGTTGCCCCATTTTGTCTTACAAGCTACACAAAAATTTGGTAATAATATACCAAAAATGTCGTGAAACTATTAAAATTTATTAATAGACGTTAAATTTGTTTTATTGCTACTTTAACATTGTAGAAAAATTCAAAAGTTACTCATGAAAATATTTATTGTTATTTCATTTACAAAGATTGTTCAAGGGCGCTGATCAAAGTTTCAATGTGGCTGAAGCAAATGTCGCAAGCACTCAAAACGCTTGGTTCTTCGGTTTCTGATGGCACTTGATCGATATCGGCTGGCAATTGGCCAATTTCGATTTGTCCTTGTTCGATTTCTGAAGGCAAGTGAGAAATTTCGATTGGTTTTTGGTCGATTTCTGTAGGCGAGTGGGAAATTTCGATTTCTGAAGGCAAATGAGAAATTTCGATTTGTTCTTGTTCGATTTCTGGAGGCAAGTGCGAAATTTCGATTGCTTCTTGTTCGATTTCTGAGGGCAAATGAGAAACTTCGACTTCTGAAGGCAAATGAGAAATTTCAATTCCTTCTTGTTCGATTTCTGAAGGTAACTGAGAAATTTCGATGCCTGTAGATGGTAATTGGGCAATTTCAATGTTGTCAGCTGTTTCAATTTTGTTGGCAACACTGGCAGAAGCTAAATAAACGAATTATTAAAAAAAAAAATACAATTTTGAAAGTCTGAACTTACCAAAAGCCAAAAGGGCAAAAGCAACTATTGTGGTAAAGGATTTCATTGTTGTTTCTTGGTTGACTAATGGAATAAGTCGATGATGATTTGCCAGATTTCAGAGTCCTTTTTATATGATAAAGCGTAAGAGGTATCTTTATTGAAGATAATCCAGGGTTATTACAGAGATTAGGGTATTTCAAAGTTTAAAAACAATCAGACTTTACATTATTCAATATTTTGGAAATTTTGGCCCCATCAAACCAAATTAAACTTATTTTCTTGGGAACAGAAGAAACAAAAATTGAATTCCCTTCCCTCTCTGTTTTCAGATTTTTTACTTCCTTCGTTGTTTCTCCAAATTCTTCCGATGTTGTATTTTTCATCCTCCAGGTTTTCTCCACTTTTGCAGCTTTTCTTTCCCAATGCTTTTCCTCTCTTTTCTCAACTTTTCTCTGTAAGTTTGCCTTTTTCTTGCTCTATTCCTAAGTACCAAAATACATCGTTTGCCCTGGGAAATCTCAAGGAAATCAAATAATCTCTAATGGCGATTTCCATTTGTTAATCAGTGCGCACTGTATCCACATCTTTTTCTAAAAAGCATGTAACATATAGGGATAAGGATAAATTTTTTTTGCACTGGTTCGACAAATGAAAATCACTATGAATCTAACGCATGTGCAGTTTAAAAAAATATTTATAATTTGAAGTTATGTTATGAGAGGAACTCTTTGATAATCTTTCTGGTAATCGGAAGAAATCGGGAGAAATCATCCATGATTCATAATGAAATCAGATCAGGAAGTCAAGGGAAATCATACGGAACAGGGGAAATCTTAAGGAAATCATGGAAAATCTTAAGGAAATCAGTCAATCTCTAGATCTAACGCATGCGGAGTTTTCGAAAATCCTAATAATTTGAACAATTTTACTGGTAGGGATGTAGCAAGTCAAATCCGGGGCCCTGGAACTACAGTGAGCCCCCTTCACTATATGGACATCGGCGGGGGGGTTATACGCAATATTGCGTATGGCAAATTCGTAAGCGAGATATGTTTGGAGGGCTAACAGACGCTATTTTTGTAATAAGTACCTAAAATATGAATTTTATACAAGCTTTTCAGCTCGGCAGATGTTCTGAAAGTACATACGTTCCGGACGCGTTTTACTTAGGAAAGTTTGTGTTTTCCAGTGATTATTTAGGCCAGGAAGTACCTAATTACTTTCCGGCCCAGTCTGGAGAGTATATATTTAGTATAGTATTCGTAATAGGTAATACACTTGGAAAATGTATTATTTTCGGACTCGCAGACATCCAGGACTCGGCTACGCCTCGCCCTGGATTCTTGTTTATTCGTCCAAAAAAACAGTAGGTACTTTCCGGACTCCTCACGTAATAGATTTACTGTTTTCATTGACAAACTCTCACCATTCTCACATACTACAGGAGATCCACTCAAGGATAATATACACCTACACGATTGCTTATCGGCCTCGTTTCTGGTAATCGCCTCCATATTGATGTGTGACCAACTGGTAATCAGAAGAAATCAGGGAAGAACATGGGAAATCATCCATGTATTCCCATAAAACCGCAATCTGGTGTACAAAAATTCACCAACGATTTATCCCTTAGAATTACCCCAAGGGAAATCTTATGTACAAATGAGGTGAAATCAAGGGGAAATTCGAGGAAATGTAAGGCAATCAGGAAAAATCAAAGGAAATTGAAGGGAATCAACGGTATTTTTGAAGAACTCAGAGAAAATCTTGAGAAAATCCTGGGAAATCTTAGAGAAATCAGACAAACCTAACGCATGCGCAGTTTTTTAAAATATTTATAATTTAAGGTTAAGTTATTAGGGGGCGCATATCCGTAAAAAAAAGGGGAAATTTTTGGCAATTTCACTGGTAATCAGAAAAAATCATGGGAAATCATCCATGATTCATAAGGAAATCAAATCAGAAAATCAAGGGAGATTTAAAGAAGCAGGGGAAATCTTAAGAAAATCATGGAAAATCTTGAGAAAATCAGTCAATCTCTAGATCTAACGCATGGCAAATTTTTAAAAATCTTTACAATTTGAAGTTATGTCATCAGGGGATCTATTGGACAATCTTACTGATAATCAGCAGAAATTAGGGGAAATCACCCATGATCTTCCTTAAAACCGCAATCTGGTGTACAAAAACTGACTTGCGGTTTTTCCCTCGTGGTATATCCGAGGATATATCCAAGGAAAATTTGGAGAAACTAAGAGAAATCAAAAGGAAATTTGAAGAAATCTTAAGGGGCTCAGGGGAAATCTTAAGGCAGAGTAAATCTCAAGGAAATCATGCAGGTTTTCCCCTAAAACCGTAGTCTGGTATACAAAAACTGACCTGTGGTTTACCTCTCCAAGAGAAATCTGGTATACAAATTAGGGAAAATCAAGAGGAAATCTAAGGCAATCCAGAAAATCATAAGGAAATATGTTTTCAGCTTTATCTATTTTAGTCAACCATCCAAGGACCTTTTTTTTCAGTTATACATGTAAACCCCATACTTTGTGAGTGGCTTGCTTACATCAAGTCCTACAACTTTTCCTCTACGACTTTTCTCGGAAATGGCACGTATGCGCGCAGACGACTCGCAAACGTTTTAGGGGTATCGAACTCCCCCAATTTGCCATTATTTTTGTCGGCCAAGTTGATTTCCGTGATTTAGACATAAAAATCAAACAGTATTCGTAAAATTAGATTTACCTACAGGTATCAGGAAACATAGCTACGTCAGATCGACATGTTTGCGAGTCGCCTGCGCGCATACGTGCCATTTCCGAGAAAAGTCGTAGAGGAAAAGTTGTAGGAGTTGATGTAAGCAAGCCACTCACAAAGTATGGGGTTTACATGTATAACTGAAAAAAAAGGTCCTTGGATGGTTGACTATTTTCTATGGGGTTTGAAAAATATTTAGACAGTTTTCCTCTTTTCCCTTACAGTAGCCAAACATCAAGTATCAAAATCCATTTGAATCCAAAAAGAATCATCCATTCCCAAATAGTTTGATTCTAGAAAAATAACCTTCAATGAAAATTTCATTAAAAAAATCCTCATTATCCGATTATAAGTTAATTGTTCAAATAAGCTTCCATTTTTTTTACAATACTTTATCGATTACCAGTTTATTAGGATAATCGTTTTTATTATTTAATGTTTATTACTTACTGAAGATTTAACAAAAAAAAAAATACATTGCGCCTAAATTTAATCCAGCAATAAAGGGATTTGCAACATTTCCTACACGATGGACGATTTATATAAATTGGCAGTCCGGCATCAGCGAAATCATCAGTTTCTTAGTTATCCTACGAAGAAACACACAAACCAACCATGAAGATTATTCTTATTGTCGCTGCCATCTTGGCTCAAGGTAAGAAACAACAGTAATCATTTCTAAATTTACATAATCTCATATGGAAATTTTATAGGTTTTGCTGGCAAGATTCGAATCTCCAACTTGCCCAACCAAATCGACTTGGAAGTAGGAGCTGAGGTTTCTCACTTGCCTGGCCAAATTGACTTAAACGAAGGAATTGAAATTTCTCACTTGCCTGGTCAAATTGACCAAAATCAAGAAATTGAAATCTCTCAGTTGCCTGGTCAAATTGATCAAAATGAAGGAATTGAAATTTCCCACTTGCCTGGTCAAATTGACTTGAATGAAGGAATTGAAATCTCTCACTTGCCTGGCCAAATTGACCAAAATCAAGAAATTGAAATTTCTCAGTTGCCTAGTCAAATTGACCAAAATGAAGGAATTGAGATCTCACACTTGCCTGGTCAAATTGATCAAAATCAAGAAATTGAGATCTCTCACTTGCCTGGCCAAATTGACCAAAACCAAGAAATTGAAATTTCCCACTTGCCTGGTCAAATTGACTTAAACGAAGGAATTGAGATCTCTCACTTGCCTGGTCAAATCGACTTGCACGAAGAAATCGAAATTTCCCACTTGCCTGGCCAAATCGACCAAAGTCAAGGAATTGAGATTTCTCACTTGCCAGCTGAAATCGATTTGCCATCGAGCGGAATTGAAATCTCCCACTTGCCTAGTGAATTGCCTCAATCTAAGTCAACTCCGAGCTGCGTCAAATACGTGAGAGCTTTACTGGAAGAAGTACTTCTTGCCTTGCCAGGCAGTCAGCCTTTGAAGCCAGTACCACGTCCACAAGTACCCATAGTCGCTCCTGCTCCGATTCAAGAGAACGCTTGCACTTTGTGCTTCGAGAAGTTGCAACTTTTGATTGAAAGAGCCAACAGCCAGAAGAGTAACGCACTTACTTTTTAATCAAAATTTATATTGATGTTGATGTTTGAAAATTGAATAAATTGGTGAATTTTAATTAGTATTGTTGTTTTTTTGTGATATATTGTGAAATATAAATGAATTACTTCTTATCATCCTAAAACAACAAAAATAAACTTACTTCTTGGAATGAAGAATAGGATAACAAAAATATATCATACAACATAAAAATTCTCAAAAACTTGAAAATTCATAACCTGAAAATTTGTTTGATTAACTAATTTTTTCAACTAGAAATAGATTATTAATCAATTTATTTCCTCAAATCGAGCCACGGAATTTCCTGATCCGATATCAATAATTATTATAAAACTTTGCAAAATCATCCTCTATCCAGAGTTAATTCTAGCCCAAACAAAAGCTGACGTCCAGGAAATAGAGCCCTCTTTAAAGCCAACTCACAGCAAAAAAAAAGGGTAATAAATAACCGTCCCTTTTGAGAGGGAGAGCTATCCAATGATAAATCGCTCTGTATTAAGTATTATAGAGCTCGACCCGCGGTCTACCAAACAAAATCATTTTGTAATAGTGACAGGCGCAATTTCAATATGAAAAGAATCTCTATTACTCTAATTATGGGCAAAATAATGGAGATAATGGTAAAAAGCTAATGGAATCTTGGGCCTTTCGATGATTTATCGTTTGTTTGTCGTGTGTTCGAGGGCTGAATTAATAAGTACAACAACAATTTCAATATTTCCTATGTTCGTTTTTCATTATATTGGAATTGCAACTTACAAATTACGCGCTTTATGTGCATAATCAAAAATCATCAAGAAATGTACTCTGCCTCTATTGAAGACAATGCGACACAGTTCTGTTTTCTTGGATTGGATTATTTCCATGAAAATATTCAAATCCACTTACAATCTTGCGAGTACAATGATCACCTCCCCAATCAGCATTACATACACCTATAAGTTCATTGTTCGATCTGGTAAACGTTAGATGGTATAACTACATTATGATTTAGATTTTGGAAAACTTTGAAATGTCATACCTAACTTCTACAAAGTAAAAGTAGACAATGGAAACGTCTACTGATAAACTAATAGTGTCACGACTTTTTTGGTTTATATTACCAGCAAATTTTTGTGTAAAATCTAGTAAGACAAAATGAAACAACACTTGCTAGTTTTAGCCATAGTAATTTTCGCAGGTAAAATAATCAAATTTGTTTATTGGTCTACATAGTATTTAAAAAGTCAGTTGAAACAAGGTAAAGGTAATTTGCAACTGGTGGCTGACTAGTGGCAGTGCATTTCTTATGAAAATATTCAGTCACCAGCTGTAATTTACCTTTACCTTGTTTCAACTGATTTTGTAAATACTATACTTGAATTAATTATTTATTGCAGTTGCTACTGCTCAGTATCTGGAAGATGTAGAACACGTACCACTACTACCAATTCCAAAGTTCCAACTTTAAACATTTTATGAATTCAGTTGGGCAAAGGATTTGCTGTTACTTCAGAAAAATGTTTGAACTGTTTATACCGGTGAAAATAGAAGCTGTGGATAATACTATACAAGAAATAATGCCTAGGTTTAACCGATTTGAATGTTGATGGTTTTTTTGAAGCCGTATTTTCACAGGATATTTACGTATCTCCATGTATTTCCACCGGATGTTTATGTATCTCCACAGATATCTATGGATTTCCACTGATCTCCTTTCGAGTATCTCAACGGATCTCCATCCCATAGGACAGAAGATTTCCACAGTGGCTACCCCCTTGAAGGTAGTCCCTTAAGACAGAAAATCCCCATTAGTCATAAACTTCTTGTAACTCTATGGATATATTTGGATCTCCAGGGATATTATACTGGGATCTTCAGGCATATCTTTGGATCTTCATGGAAATTATTTGGATTTCCATGGATTTCCGTATATTATTTCCTCCGGACCTTCATATATTAATACCCATCATAATACCATGCAGTTAAAATTGTAACATTTTCAATTGCTTGGCTAATAAGCTACCTTGTTTTGCTTTAGTAGATATGATTCCATATAGAACTACAATGAAATAAATGAATAAACAACTATCTTTTCTGTGCCCAGATTTTGTTACCTTGAGTACTGCCTTCTACTGAAAGTTTTTTGGTGCAGGTTTGCAAGTTTTGTTAATAATTGATCTAGGAAGGTTTGATTCAGTACGGCAGGGCCCGCTGTTATTGATTAGAATCTTAGGAAAAGGAGTTAGTACCATCATCATATCTGTTTGCAAATCCAATCAATAATCTGAGGTTATGATAATAATTGTTGTTTACTCTTTGACTTTTCATTTCCATCATGTCATTGAACAGCTGTTTTGTCTAGGCGTTTTCTTTAGACCTGTTCTACCTTTTGATATATGTTCTATAGGCACTTTTCAACATTCACCAGTCATTTTTTACACAACCGATTCTCAGTTCGTACTTTTGGGGTGAAACTGAACACGTCCTTTTCTATAATTTTCTTCAATGTCAAAATTAGAAGTTTGACAGATGAAAGTCTTCTTCCGAAATCTTAATGAAGAATCTGCCCCTTTTGATCTGCGACCTCACGCTGAGTAGTCGTCCGGTCTCGGGCCTCGGCCCTAATTATTTTTGGGGCGAGACTTTTTGGAATTTTGTGCCCGGGGAGCTCAAGTTTTAGACTAATTTCTTGATGATAATTGTCTAGAGTCGTCCCTTGGTCATTTTTGGATTCTGTTTCGGACTGTTCCGAGCAGCTTTTGGAAGTTTAAGACTTCACCTTTGGTCTAGAGGATCCCTCAATTTGAGGTAAGATTATTTCTAATATTTGGGGCTCGATTTGTTTTTTTATACGAACATCGTTATAGGGTCCTACTCCTAGTCTCGGGCTATAGTTGGACACTCCTAGTCTCAGGCTATAGTTGGACAATCCTACTCTTAGGCTATAGTTGGACAATACTAGTGCTAGGCTGTAGCTGGACAGTCTTAGGCTGTGGTTGGACAGTTGCTAGGCTGTATTTAGAGAGATTCTAGACTGGATCTGGATTGCTCTCAGTTGGGGCTTTGGTAGCCATTCTTCAGCAACTCTCTTGGTACCACTCTGGCAGAACCACGTCGAGTTCTACGCTAAACAGATACAACGTGGATAGGACTCATGACTCACTTACCATACCATAGTCTATCTAATAGTGAGACCAAACCTGTAGATAACCTCACTTTGGAAATTTCTGGATTTTCACATACATTTCACTTGTATACATGTAAGTTGCACTTTTACTATTTAGGCAAATCCTATGTAAATCACTGGATACTGAATTAGGTTCGGTAAGTGCCCCTTAAATAAAATTCTAGAATTTTACCCAGAGGTTGCCCAAAGAATAACTTTCACCTGTCTGTGTTTAATTTGCCTGTTGGTAAAGTGTAACCCATACTGTTTTTTTTTTAATCTTCCACAAGTGTTAATAAACAGTTAAAACTGTTTATTTTAAATTCATCTATTCATTATTTACATTTTTTTATTTATTCAAATATTCACAAATTAGGTACAAGCCTAATCCTAAACACCTTTTTTAATAACTTCGTGGCTACTTATTGGCGCAATAGTTAAGTCCTAATTACTTGGTGGCTACACTTTTTGGCGTCTTATTATTATTGTTATTATTTTTTAATAAAGAAAGCCAGATACATTATTGTACCTAATTAGTTGTTTTATTGTTAAGCGCTCCAATTGCACAGGTTTTGTTTATAACATCATTAGGTTATCTTCCTAGTTAAGTCACAATTAACTTGGTGGCGCCCAAAGGTAAGATGTATACAAGGAACCCATAGACCCATGGCCTCCGAACTGAAGCTGACTAGCCGTAGCAGTATAATTAGGCAATTGCCAAAATAAGTACGTTATAAAATTATGTGTGCACACAATGCAACAGGACTGCAGTCGAAGTTCTTGGATCACCACGTATTTCTACCGGTTCTCCATGTATCTCTAGTGGATCTTCATGTATCTTTCTCCTCTGGGTATCCATGTATCTCCACGGATAACCATGTATTTCCACACTTATGAAATCTTGCCGTAGAAAGTTTCAAGTGTAAATATTATAGTTCAGCAACAAACTGGAATTATAGTCAATTTACTTAAAAATGTCTCTAAGCTGATAATAGGTTCTTCTTCTTCTTCTTCTTGGTGTTTAATCCTGCGTTAGTGCGACAGCACTCTTACGCAATTTTGGGTGTTTATTTACTGCCATGTGTTGTGTTTTAAGTCAATTTTTGTTCAGAGAAAGGGAGGGGAGTGGGGAAAGGATAGGAAGGATGGGAAAGGAGGGAAGGGGATTTCATTCACTAGAAGAGAAGTGGAGCTCTAAGATTTGTTTGTTGGAGATCAGGACGGCTTGGGTCACCGATGTTAATTTTAATTTTCCATAATTTTGCCCAATCAATTATGGAGTCAAGATGATTTTGTAGGCGTCTATGTATGTGATGTAAGTACTTTTGTGTAAATACAAGTGTCATCTGCGTAAATGGACATTTTAGTATGGGGATTATTGGGGATGTCAGCCGTGTAGAGATTATAGAGCAGTGGAGCTAGGACAGAACCTTGAGGAACTCCCGCTTCTATAGGTCTGACGTTTGAGAAAGTATCTTTGTTGAGTTTGACACGGAAACTTCTGGCTTCAAGGAAATTAATGAGAATTTTGACAAGAGATAATGACAGAAAATATTTGTCATGAAGTTTGACTATGAGTCCAGCATGCCAGACTTCTAGCAGAACTACACCCGATTCATAATAACTGGAACTTTCACTGAATTTTATCTCAATCAAGGGACTACAATCCCTGAAAATTTCAACTCATTTGCACTTATAGTTCCTGAGATAAAATCGTGTCAAGCAATTTGGGGTGATTTATCAATTTTTCAATTTTTCTGAGTGTCTTTTTTCATAGATTTTGGCTTCAAATCTGAGAATAATTTAGTGTATGGAGTTTGGGGTATCTCAAAGGACCGTTAGGACATAAAATCTCAACAACAAAAAAATATTCAAATTTCATTGTTTTGGTAAGAAGGTAGTAATTTTTTTATACAAAGTAAAAGTAGACAATGGACAATAAAACAAATATAACTTTCATTGAAAATTTTTATTAGTGTCACGACATTTTTTGTATATTACCAACCAAATTTATATGTTAAATCTAGTGAAACAAAATGGCACAACATTTCCTAATCTTAACCATTATAGTTATTTTAGCAGGTAAGTAAATCAATTTTGTTTAAGACTAAATAATTGATCATATGATTATTTTAGTTGTTACTGCTCAAGATTTGGAAGATGTAGACGACAAACCACTTCCACTAGCGGTCAAACTTGCAATTGAAAAAATCAATACTGTAGTTGGAAAAATGATCTACTGTAGCCTCAAAAGAATGTTTGATCCGGCAGAAATGGAAGCTATTGATAATATTGTCAAAGAAGTAATACCTGGGTTCAAATCATTGCCTTGTAAACTGTTTTTTTGAAGTTAAATAAAACATTATAATAATTTGAGTGTTTTTACTTTATTATAATTCTTCATTAGGTGTTGTCAAAGTCTTGACCATCTTTTGTAATTTTTTGATTGCTTGTTGTTTTTGCATCAAGTCTTCTAGGCTTAAATTTTCCAGATTCTTTTCAGGTTTGTCGCAGTTTTTACATTTTGCTTTTCCAATGTTGGTAAACGTATTCACCAAAGTATTTTTGACTTGCTTGAATTCTTTTTCGTTTTGTGTTGTGTCCAAAACAGCCAGCCAACCTTCTACTTTGTCTCTAGTCACTGTCAGTCCTTCTTTAATCCATTTATCCACAATACCTTGGGCGATGCCCTTAATTTTCAAACTCATAATGTCTTCATTTTGAGGATTTGCTTGGGCTAGAATTTAAAAATTAGTATACGTAAAGAAAAATTTATTGTGCTCTTTTACCAAATGCAACTAAAACTAACAGCACAAGATGCCTGCTCATTTTTTGTGCTTATACTGAAATAAATTAATCCTAATAATTTTATAAGAAGCCCAATAAAAATGCTTGTTGTTTTTCAAAACATAATCCCAACTATAAAGTTTTATTAACAATTGATAAAATACTTTATTGTTGTGTGAATTGAAAATTAGCCAGCCCATATTATTGTATACGATTCCAATCTTCCACCCTATTTGATCCCCTATCGTTATTTCTCATAAAACTTTGGTGGAAACTGGGAAATCCTTTTGCCAGGAGTTCGATTTCGGCCGAAATCAATTTGCTAGGAGGGGAGTTCGTCTACTATCCTCTGATAATGGGAAATTGCCGGCGAAAATTTTCAATTTATCATTTGATTGATAAATTAAACGAATACCTACAACAGGAATGATTTAGTTTTTAAAACTAGCTGCAACTTACAAACTATGCGCTTGATATATCATCACAGATATAAAGCTGAAATTTCCCAAGAATATAGTTGAAGTAAAGGACTACAATATAAAATCCTATTTAAAAAGAGAAAATCTCTTGCTAATAAAGTTGTCTATCGTCGAATAGTCTTCTTCTCTCTGGGATAAATGAAATTGTTTAAGTTTTAACGTTGACAAATGCGAAGGGCTTAAGGGCCCCACCCCCGGGATAATCTGACAAACAGCGAAAATGGACTCTTTTTCCCGAAGCCGGGGCCCTTTTCCTTTTTCTATCTCGCTAAAACGCTAAGTCCGCAATCTAGCCGGGTCATTTTTCATTACACTTTTCTCCTTATTCGCGACGGATGAAAGTGGATTTGAATAATCACGCTTATGGAAACTTGTTATAGTTTTCGAATTGGAACTGATCGGAATTTTTTCAAATACGTTATGTGATTATGAATATTGATTTTTTTGATCGATAGAGCGAATTTAAATTAGTGGAGAATAATCCTAAGATCAATTCCAAATGACGATTTTAAAATTTTAAAAAATTATAAAGGAATTCTTATTTTTGGCTCTGGAACATTTCCAAAATCTTGACATGGTCCTAAGTAATTGCCCATACCTTTGTTGAATTTTCAGCAAAATGGAATAAATTATATACCATTGGAAAGAGCATTAAATTCTCTATAAATCCGTGAAATATTGAGTTTGAAATCTCAAATAGTTTTTCAGCAATAGACCCTCAAAGTTGATTTTTAGTCCAAATTTTGTCAAAAACTTCAAAGCTAATTTTCTTAGAAATTATAAGCCTGGGAATATTATGAATTATTGGTCTTTTAGATCCTGTTAAGAGCTACAAATGCTGAAAATTTCAATGCAATTTCCTCAACCGTTACCGAGCAATTGAGGTTTGAAAATTTTGAAATCAGAATCCAAAGGGGTTACCCTTATGAAAAACTCGATTTTTCTATTTTCCAGTTTTGCTCAATTTTGACTTAACCAATCGATAGAGCGGGTCAAAATTAGTAGGAAACAACCCTAACATCAATTTCAAATGACCATTTTAAAATTTAAAAAAATTATAAGGGAATTCTTATTTTTGGCTGTGGAACATTTTCAAAATCTTGACATGATCATAAGTAATTGCCCATATCTGTTAAATTTTGAGCAAAATGGAATAAATTATATATCATTGGAAAGAGCATTAAATTCTCTATAAATCCGTGAAATATTGAGTTTGAAATCTCAAATAGTTTTTCAGCAATAGACCCTCAAACTTGATTTTTAGTCCAAATTTTGTCAGAAACTTCAAACCTAATTTTCTTAGAAATTATAAGCCTGGGAATATTGTGAATTATTGGTCTTTTAAATCCTGCTAAGAGCTACAAATGCTGAAAATTTCAATGCAATTTCCTCAACCGTTACCGAGCAATTGAGGTTTGAAAATTTTGAAATCAGAATTCAAAGGGGTTACTTACCCTTATGAAAAACTCGATTTTTTTATTTTTCAGTATTGCTCAATTTTGACTTAACCAATCGATAGAGCGGGTCAAAATTAGTAGGAAACAACCCTAACATCAATTTCAAGTGACCATTTTAAAATTTAAAAAAAATATGAAGGAATTCTTATTTTTGGCTCTGGAACATTTCCAAAATCTTGACATGGTCCTAAGTAATTGCCCATATCTTTGTTGAATTTTGAGCAAAATGGAATAAATTGTATACCATTGGAAAGAGCATTAAATTCTCTATAAATCCGTCAAATATAGAGTTTGAAATCTCAAATATTTTTTCAGCAATAGACCCTCAAAGTTGATTTTCAGTCCAAATTTTGTCAAAAACTTCAAAGCTAATTTTCTTAGAAATTATAAGCCTGGGAATATTGTGAATTATTGGTCTTTTAGATCCTGCTAAGAGCTACAAATGCTGAAAATTTCAATGCAATTTCCTCAACCGTTACCGAGCAATTGAGGTTTGAAAATTTTGAAATCAGAATTCAAAGGGGTTACTTACCCTTATGAAAAACTCGATTTTTTTATTTTTCAGTTTTGCTCAATTTTGACTTAACCAATCGATAGAGCGGGTCAAAATTAGTAGGAAACAACCCTAACATCAATTTCAAATAACCATTTTAAAATTTAAAAAAATTATAAGGGAATTCTTATTTTTAGCTGTGGAACATTTTCAAAATCTTGACATGATCATAAGTAATTGCCCATATCTGTTAAATTTTGAGCAAAATGGAATAAATTATATATCATTGGAAAGAGCATTAAATTCTCTATAAATCCGTGAAATATTGAGTTTGAAATCTCAAATAGTTTTTAAGCAATAGACCCTCAAAGTTGATTTTTAGTCCAAATTTTGTCAAAAACTTCAAACCTAATTTTCTTAGAAATTTTAAGCCTGGGAATATTGTGAATTATTGGTCTTTTAGATCCTGCAAAGAGCTACAAATGCTGAAAATTTCAATGCAATTTCCTCAACCGTTACCGAGCAATTGAGGTTTGAAAATTTTGAAATCAGAATCCAAAGGGGTTACCCTTATGAAAAACTCGATTTTTCTATTTTCCAGTTTTGCTCAATTTTGACTTAACCAATCGATAGAGCGGGTCAAAATTAGTAGGAAACAAACCTAACATCGATTCCAAATGACCATTTTAAAATTTAAAAAAATTATAAAAGAATTCTTATTTTTGGCTCTGGAACATTTTCAAAATCTTGACATGATCATAAGTAATTGCCATATCTTTCTTAAATTTTGAGCAAATCGGAATAAATTATATACCATTAGAAAGAGCGTTGAATTCTCTATAAATCCGTGCAAAATTGAATTGGATAGGTCAAAAAGTTTTTAGATTATCCAGCCTCAAATTTGACATTTAGTCTAAATTTTGTCAAAAACTTCAAAGCCAATTTTCTCAAAAACTATAAACCCAGGAGTATTGTAAATTACAGGTCTTCTAGAGCTTGATGAGAGCTACAAATGCTGAAAATTTCGATGTAATTTGCTTAACGGTTACCGAGCAATTGAGGTTTGAATATTTTAAAATTAAAATTCAAAGGGGGATATATAAAAAAACTCGATTTTTTTATTTTTCACTTTTTCTCAATTTTGACTTCATCAATCGATAGAGCGGGTCAAAGTTAGTGGAAAATAACCCTGACATCATTTTCAAATGGCCATTTTAAACAGAACCAAAAATAAAAAGGAAAGCTTATTTTTGGCTCAGTAAAATTTTCAAAATCTTGATATGTCTTGAGCAATTGCTCATCTCTTTGTTGAGTTCTGAGCAAATTGTAATAAATTATATATCATTAGAAAGAGCAATAAATTCTCTGCAAATCCGTGCAATAATTGAGTTTGATAGCTGAAAAAGTTTTTCAGTTATTCAGCCTCAAAGTTGACTTTTAGTCTAAATGTTATCAAAAATTTCAAACTCAATTTTCTCAAAAACCATAAACATAGGAATATTGTTAATCACAGGTCTTTTAGAGCTTGATGAGAGCTTCAAATGCTGAAAATTTATATGTAATTTGCCCAATGGTTAGCGAGCAATTGAGGTTTAAATATTTTGAAATTAAAATTCAAAGGGGTATCTCTTATAAAAAACTCGATTTTTTATTTTTCACTTTTTCTCAATTTTGACTTCATCAATCGATAAAGCGGGTCAAAATTAGTGGAAAACAACCCTAACATCAATTCCAAATGACCATTTCTAAAATTATAAAGGAATTCTTATTTTTGGCTCTGGAACATTTTCAAAATCTTGATATGGTCATAAGTAATTGCTCATATCTTTGTTAAATTTCAAGCAAATTGGAATAAATTATATACCATTGGAAAGAGCATTAAATTCTCTATAAATCCGTGCAAAATTGAATTTCATAGCTCAAAAACGTTCTGAGCAATTGAGCCTCGAAATTGAAATCTTAGTCGAAATTTAGTCAAAAACTTCAAACTCAGAATATCCTCAATATTGCATGAAAGATTAATGAGATAAACTTTCACTTTTCCCAAACTCCACGTGAAGGGATAAAATTCAAGGATGTTATTGAATTTAATTGAATTTCAAAACATGTTTTATTTAGGATCAGTTATCCAGATTTCCAAATTTCATCCTTATACAGGGTGTAGGTATTCAATAAACCAAAGGCAAATGTTGCATTAAAATGAAAATCGACGTAATGAGATGAAATTTGAGGATTCAGCGAAAAATCAAATAGAATTTATGAATTTCCCTTCTATATACAGGGTGTACTCGATAAATCGAAGAGCTTTTCAAAAAGTTTAAAATTAAAATCTAACCTATTTTCCGGTTTGTTTCAGACTATCAACAAGAACTTCTTTGGCCAACTGAAGAAAACCAACAACGGCTCATCTACATCAGGTAAATACAGTTTCATCTCTTTTTATCCTCATCAGTACATTTTCCAATTCGTTATTTTTGCTTGTCAAAACGTTTTTTTTCAATCCATCTTTGTTATCAAACTTCAATCAAATTCGAAAAATCCGTGCTAAAATCCTCAAATTAACCCACCCGGAAATAAGACAATCCGAGATGAGATTGAAATAAATTGGGGGGATTTCGTTCTATATATATATATATATATATATAGGAAACGGTTTGTTGGAGATCCATGTCGGAGTAATTACGCGTCTGCTCGAGCTTGCGGTAATTTATATCATCAGAAAACGAGATG